GGTGGCCAGCCGATGTACAAGTCAGTGCTTTTATCCTCCCAGACAAGTCTGGTACAAATTCACGACCCCGGAGGGATGGAAGGCTTGGATGGCCTAGGCGGGCATCGATCCGGGATTCGAACCCCTGACCGTGCGCCTGATAGGATTCGACTAGGATAGAAGGCCGAATGGCGTAGGCAAGTCCAGGATTCAATCCCGAACCTTGTGTGTTTGTGTGATAGAGCACCGTTTAACCCTACACCATCCCCGCTAATCTGCCTTCACACGATTCCCGGCTTCAAAATCAGACTCGCTTCTTCTTGATACTGAAACTGCTGATGACTGATTGCTTGCTTTTAACCTTTGAAAGAGGCACCAGCCTTTCTTTATGATCAAGATCGCTTACAAATATTCTATCTCAAAAAAAGAAGTTGTTGGATGCCACTAAAATAAAATGTATATCTAACAAAGGCGTGACGCTTCCGATTACAACAACCTTGGTGAACGGCCGTCGTTTCTGATTGATAGCAATCATCGTGAGCGAAGTCCATGTGACCTAACCAGACCGACCGAAAACGTCACTCCCTGATTCAGTCATCAAGTGTTCGCCAAACGGATGCGGAAGAAGCTATTAATTAAACAAATTTGTTGATTATGGTATTTCAATGTGAGAACTTCTAGAAAAATCTATTCTGATAACATTATAAAATCTCTTTAATCGACTCATTTTCATATTTTTGAACTATTATACAATCTTGTGTACTTTTAATGAGATTCTGCACCATTAGATAGCGCTTTGCAGAAGTATTTTCGCAAAATATTCCTTCCTCTATGGTCTTTTAAGCTAAATTATTCTACACTCTCTTTATCAGAATGTTCACCAAGAAAGGGTATCACGATAAATATGGAATTCAGTATGTATTCGATATTATATACTGTATTTCATTATAATTGAATTCAAACTTACAAAACCATAATTCGATGAATTTGGGAACCAGGCTATTTTAAGTCGTGTTTTTCACTTCTTCCAACGAAAATATTGCAATCAGCAAAATCTCAAATCACGGAAAGCTTAAGCCTTAGTAGATTCCGACCCTTCGTTTGATTTCTAAAGTGCTAACTCCATGGAGGCAGTTTCTTTATAAACTTCGGCAAGATATTGGTCATTGCTGACTAGATTTTCAACAATAACAAGGGTCAGAATGAAAGAGAATAGAAAAGATTCCCATAAATCCAGCTGAGGTTGACCAGTTCATTTTCGAGGTAGTCTCAAGGAGTCGAATTCTTTAGTACTTTGCTTTGGCACTTTGCTCACAGAGAGCCAGGTACCATGAAACCTACTTAGCAGCAATGGAAAACTTGAGCAACTGAGTCATCGGTTGCAGATATCAGTCGAGGATTCTATTTCCGGACCACACATGAGATATCGCCTCGTTTGACACTACCTGGGACTTTTTTTTGAGGTATATATATATAATAGAGGAGTTAATTGCAAAAAAAAGATCCATACCCTCAGTTGATTCTTTTCTATTAGAACATTAAGGAGAAGAAAGGTACGAAGAAAGCTAGTAGAAAGCTGATTCTTCATCTTTGATTTCTAATTTGAAAATGGTTAGTTGAATTCTTGGAGTGACCCAAAAGCTTGAAATTCTTGAGCAGAGATTGAAAAGGATATGATACTAGCCTTGAAATGACTTGGAGGTGGTGCAAGTCCGGAAATGACGAACGACACCGATCCCAACGTGGTCCCTGCAAGCCCACTGATACGCCAAGCTCCCAGCGAACGTGCATAGTGAATGAATCTCGTTTATGAACAACTTATTACTATTCATATAGTGACGCGAATGACGTACGCGGAGAGTATAAATAACAACAGCGACTAGGGAGTTCCCCATCAGTGGTGGTCTGCGAATAAGCAAAAGGCTTCCTCTGAACTACTACAGTACTGTGGATTGTTTTGTTAAAAATTTTTCACTGAATTCGGATTTTTATAAGAACATATCAGATTTTTCGTGTTTTTTCTTCTCAGAATCATTCTTGCTTTATCTTATTGAATACTGGCTTCGTGCTGTTAACAAAACTTTTCCGGGGTGCGCCACGAATCCGATTTCCTTCAAGGGTCGTTGCCCTTTCCAAGTGCTGCTTTGACAAAATGATTCGTGTATGCAAACTTTTATACATAGCAGGATCTTCATTTCAGAAAAACATTTACATTTCAAATGTATAAAGAACCTAGGTGCCCTATAATGAGTCCTGCATAAGGGGAACGACTGTTGGCTGGCTGACATGGAGAGGAGCAGATCCTAAGGCTTGAACACCTTTTTTTGCGAGGATGTGCCACATGCTAGTACCTGACTTCCTAGCTAAACGGCTTCAACAATTTTCAATTGGATCTTTCCCTTTCACGACGCTTCAGATTTCTGTACCCTTTACTTCGGTGGTGGTAAAGACTTGCTTCGATTGGTTTCTGCTTTTTTTCCAGGGTGTCTTAGGATTTACAGTGAACTGACGACCTTTTAACTGATTCTAAGGCTGCATACAATGAGGACTGGAAACCACAGACAGACAAAGGCACAAAAGTTTGCATGCGTTGTAATCATAGCACCCAAGTGTTGTCAAAAGGATCGCTAAGAACAATCTAGTCTATTTCGGAAGCACCATCATTTAGCCCAGTTATTTTCAATTTGAAAAATACTGCACCAGTATTTTGCAAATTGTGAAATAGACGCTAGACACCGACCTTTCTACTTGGGTAGTTAGTTTTTGCTTTTTGCTGTTTGCTATTTGGATGCTGATAGGTTGTCGATCATAAACGGAACGACATAGTAGTCAACACCTGTGGTCATCATAAAAAACCTGTTCACTTTCATAATGTTTAGCTTTGTTCAGTGTTAAAGTGTGCTTTACAATTGTTCAAAAGCAACAGGCCGCCTGTCATACTGTAGTCAGGCGACGGGNGACATAGTAGTCAACACCTGTGGTCATCATAAAAAACCTGTTCACTTTCATAATGTTTAGCTTTCTTCAATGTTAAAATGCGCTTTACAATTGTTCAAAAGCAACAGGCCGCCTGTCATACTGTAGTCAGGCGACGGGGATGGAGGCGTGGCTTCCGTCGCGCCCTTCAGGGATGCTTCAAAAGGACGAATTGCCGTCAAGTTTTTCTTTTCATCAACTAAAGAGACCGCGATTTTTTTGAAGTCTGACACCTTTGTCGTCCTTAATTATCCCATCGGTTCCATTGAAAAGCAATTTTGTTTATCTGAAATTGGCCCAAGTCGTGCTCTGAACTCGTCTGCTTCAGTACAAATGTCCGCAGTAGATCGACGATAACAGAACTTTGTTTGGCCCATTTGGCCCAGTTCTCATCTCCTTCTCCTTCGCCTTCTTCCTCTTTCGAAACGTACTCTTTTCGATGCATTGGAGTTCTTAAGCCTTGAATTTTTATTAGTGCTATACGGACGGCCGAGTTTTCACCGTGGCTCGATTTCCCCAGTGTTTCTGGGGAAAACTCGTCCATTTAAAGCCCCGATTTTTCTTATTCTTATTTTCGTTCTCATTTTCATAGTATTTCGGTTTTTCTCACCGTCATCGCCTCCGCCGCTTTGACATCTCGTCCGTTCTCATCTCGTACTTGAATGACCGTCCATTCAGGCAGTTGAAAAATCAGTTCTTTCCAGAATGACTTCAGTAAAGCACGTTCACAAGAAATACGTTTCCAAATCAACGACGTCTTCTGATTGGAAAAATATCTACGTCGTTAGTGTATTCGCCTTCGTTGATGCCCTACAATTCGCATTTTTCGTATGGACCTTCTGGCCATACTGCCAGCAGGTAATAGTTTTCAAGAGACTCTCTTTTTGGAATCTTTATTTTTTTTTGCAATCTGGGAGCTCCATTAGTTTGAAAAATATCAAAAGCGACATTGGTACAATCCTGATCGGTGGATAGTACTCATGGATTCCCCTATTGAAGCTGAACTTGAGGGGTAAGATTTTATGGACAGGTAGTAAAGTGGATAGCTTGGAAGGAATGCAAATCACTTAGGGAGGTTACGTATTCGGCTCGAAAAAGCTGCGGATTTCTACTTACCTCAGGGACCTTCTAACTTCGGTGCGGACCTAACGTTCTGACGTTTCACTCTTCTCCCGTTACCATCCGCTGAAGTTTGTCCTTGCCTTTATAGAGGGCTACATAAGATGCTAACGGTACATTTTCCCTGCACAATTTGTTGTCCTGTATGTTTGTTAGGCGAGCGATTGTACCCTTCTTTTCCTATAAAACCTTTTTTATTTGAATCCGGGGCTCTCCCAAATCCTCCCAGTATGAATCACGCCTGGCTAGAAATGATGTCATGAAGTCGCGCTTATGCAGACATACTTTATCGTAACCAGTTTTGTTTACATCGGAAATTGATGACAATCAATCTCAACCAAACAAAAGTCCACGTGGCTGCCCTAAATAGGGCGCATATGACATGTAACTGGTTTTAGAAAGTAAATAATACAAATGGAACTTTAGCTGAGCACGGAATATCACTTGACATCGGGGTCTTCTAGGAACTGCTTTCAGAGAAAAACTCTAGGAAGGGTAGGTAGGTTGCAGGGTGGGTCGAGAACCCCATTTGGCTTGAATTGTGAGGTCGAGCTCCACTCCAAAAACTTCACTTGATCGAAATCTTGAAAACGCATGACCCTAGGGGGTACCTATAACTGATTGGGGGACGGGGCACATAATTCGGCTCAGATCGCGATATTTTAGATCTATCTTCCATTAAGGAAAATAATTTATAATGTTCAGCTCGACCCCACACTGTCAGCCTCATTCATCGGTCTCATCATGGCCGTCTCGGGTCTGGGAGAAGCGGTTGCGGCACCGATTTTTGGTTGGTTTTTCTCCCTGACTGACCTACTCGGCTTTCCCTGAGTCTCTCTTCTTTCAGGGTACTGGACGAACTGTACTGGTCTGATCGTTCCTCCACTGATCGCCTCCATCACGATGTCAATCGTTGGCAATGTGATTTATATGTGTCTGAATGAAGTGCCGCTAGGCCTAAGGACCTATGGACTTCTACTTTCGAGGTTCCTGAACGGAGCTGGAAGTGGTAGGTGCTCCTCGTGGAGCAAGCCTTCTAGAACTTACAGGAGACAATTTTTTCAGGTAATCGCGGTACATACTTCGCTTACATCGCAGCCGCCAGCGACACGAGCGACAGAGCACGTTCGATGGCACTATCTGGTGGTGGCGCTCTGATCGGACTGAACGTTGGCCCAGGTACAGCGCTACTATTTGATCATAAGACTACCGTCTGATAAGCAAGAATTCCAACACCAGTGATCATTGTGTAACGGCCATTAAAGCGATCAGACAGACGGCATGATTAATGAAGATTGTCGGGAGAGTGCGACGAGGGCGATAGAAACCAGTTTTTCTCAAAAGTTCTATCAGAGATCAGCATTTCGAGAAAAGAGAAGAGCGATGTGATCTTTGCGGTCAACGGTACTGATGGAACGACTCTTAAAATCATTTCAAAGATCTAAAGTTAGGGTCAGCTATCGATTTAAGGTCAAAAACTGGTGAAGTAATTGTATGAGTTCTCACGAGTTTAAGTCGAGGGCGTGGCGTATACTACAAAGCAGACATTACCGAGGGGGCGGCATGTATGGCCTACTTGAATTAAAAAGACCAGCCAAAAAGGTAACAGAAGGGGTCCCAAACACCAAGACCCTGCAGGGCAACTAACTAGGAATCGCCGCGCGGTGGGGATATCGCTACAGGTGCCAGGAGACATCTCCAGAACTAATCTTAACGTACGATATGTTATCAATACAGCAATATTTCTCTATGGCAAGCAAATATCATTCTAAACCTGCCATTTGCAGCCGCTCAAATGCTGTTTACATGGATTGGTGGTGAAGGAGTAGATGTTGGCTTCATGCGAATTTCCATGTACACAGCACCAGCTATACTGGCTATAGTGATCAATATCTCCTGGTGGGTGGAGTTTCCCACGACTTTTTGACTGTAACCATTGGACCCTTCTAATTTCCCGAAATATATTGCAGCATCATTTTCCTTGTTTTCTGTTTGGAAGATGGGCTGGATAGGTACAACGCTCCCGATTCAGACAACGTTTCCACGTACAGTATCGCCGCTGCCAGTGATTCTGATCTCGGTTGGTTTTGCCTGTTACTGCGGCCCTTAGCCATGAACGAAGGTAGAATATTCCAGAAAGAAATGCAGTGAAGACTGTGAGGATGGATGTGCTGGCTGTTGTGGTATGTATGTGGACAAGAGCTGCTCGAATGCTGATCACCGCCAATGTAGAGAGGTGAGCACACCTACGTTTTCCCTTATCAACAAGGGAATAAACAGAGTCCTCAGTGGCACTTTGCTCGTCTAGGACCTAGAAAATATATGAGATAAAGGTTATATGGGATTTGAGTAGTCAAAGCAAAAACTGATCTGACTTACTGGCTCTGAACTTGATCTGATCCTTGTTTTAGCATTGGATCACCGTTCTCTGAGGTGATGTTCGGTTTGGATAACGAGCAGGTCCTGAACTATAACGCGATGATGCAAGGTGCTGTTGGTGTCCTCACAACAGTGATGTTCATCGTCTACGCCTTTACCGATTACTCAAAATGGTGAGTACCCGAGTAAGCCGAAAAATAGAGTCAACATAATCGATTGTTGCAGGGTGTCCGAACGTCTGAATTGCCTGGGAGCAATGATCGCTCTGTTAGCCTTCCATTTGCTAACATTCTCATGGCCATTTCTCACAGGAGACATGCCCGGTTGCGACAAGTACGTAGCAGGAAACGGTAAGTATTCGTTTTCTGTGCCCTGAAACTGCACACGTCCACTGCAGATACCGTAGTCGGTCGCCACACGCGGCTGATACCGTAGTACACCGCGTACCCAGACGAACGCTGCCATTCGACTGCTTAGGCAGCTGTAGCAGCTAGAGTACTGACTCACTGTAAGGTAAGACGACGGTGTGTAACGTGTACGTCCAATGAACCGATCAATCGATCGCCGATACTGTGCCGATCGATCAATAAAAATCGATTTTTCAGGGACTACACATGGATGGGATTGGTGTGAAAGCCTACGTCCGATCAATTTCTGGGTGTACTACATCGGATATGCGGTTATATTCGGTATCGGACTGCCGTGTCTGAATAACTCTCTACAGTCCCTGTACAGTCAGATCCTTGGCAAAGGCAGACAGGTGAGTACTGTACCATTGTCGGTTAAAGGAAAGGTCCCGCACGGAGTAGTAGTAGTACTTCTCTCATTACAGGGAACTATGCAAGGAATAAATCAGGCAGCTGGTTGCGTTTCGCGTATCCTGGGACCACTACTAATGTCGTAAGTTGATTTTTTTTATTCAAGTTATCCCTTATGAGGAAGTAATATTTCTAAGTGCCATAAATTTCATTCCATGCATGGGTGTCTGAAGTGGTGCCACTACCACAAGTAAGGCCGAGGGATCAGAGCCAGATCGGTTTTCGCACAAAACAACCAGGCCCCCAGTCCTTTTGAAGTGGAAAAAGGGAAGAGGCCCTTTCAATGATTTGGGACTCTTCTGGGTAATGATAGAAGTAGCGTGTACATCATCCAGCTTTTGGATGTCTACGTTTGGCCCAACAACCGTTACGATTCTGAACTGAAACTTGAATATGAGGCGCATGGTGAAACGGGGCTGATCATACTTTTGTGTTTATAGTTTTATTCTAAAAATCATAGTTACTGATACCTTCCAATATTAAGTTGGTTCAGCTGCCCAGTATTGAGAATGTTTTTCAGGACCACTTTCGCAAAGTTCGGACCACGAGCTACATGGCTTATTGAAATTGGATTGATCTCAATCTGTCTTTTCATCTGGTAAGTGTTCAATTTTTTAGATCCATTGTCACTCCTATTCATCCATATTTCCAAAAAAATAGTCCATGTGGAGGGAGATGCGAGAGCGGTCTCATGAGCGGAGGCCCCTCTTTAATAATCCCACCTACATGGACTTTTTCTGGGAAATATCTCATGGCCGGAGGCTAGCGGAACTAGCTTTATAGTGAAGGGCACACTACATTTCTTATCAGCTCTTCTGCTAGATGGATATCAGAATAAAATCAAGGTTAACATAGAGTTTTCAATCTCCTCCAAAAAAATTAAGAAGGGGCGGATTCTAGTTAGAAGATCGAACTCGGACAATTGGATGCCTTTTCGAATTTCAATTGCATTCGATTTCAGGTGCACCGTTTACCGTAGGCTCAAGCCGGCTGGAATGGTTGAAATCAAAGAGCGCACTATTACCCTAGACCAAGAAGATCGTAAGGTTTCCAGAAGTGACAGTGTCAGCACCAATATCTCAGTGATAAGCGATCCATCGAAGGTTGTTCCCACCCCATGAGGCACTGCACTCATCTAGATGTTGGATCTCCAGACAATATTGTTGTATTACCGTTTGGGGTCTGGTAGGGTGCAGTCTACACCTACAGTAATCAAACATACTTACCGTAACCACTCAGGGAAATCTATATTTTTTCATATTCTACTGTACCATTCTCAAAATCTGAGAAGTTACATGTTGTGTTGCAAGACCTCTGATGATTTCTACATGTGAATTCTCACTTTTAGATTTTTCACTTGTTGTCTGCCATTGGAGTACTGTAAGATAGTTGTAAATAATTGTTTTGTAAATTTTGCATTTTATCACGTTGTAGTTAGATCGGTATCATTTCACCATTGACGATATTCCGCTCATACAATAGGGAAAGACGCTTATACTACGGGTGACAGTCCCTTAATTTCTATTCAGGTGCATTCATTGTTCCTTAGTTTTGTTGTCATGCGAATAAATTTATTTTGTTGTTTGTTTGTTGACAAATCACCTGTTATGCTTGGAGGCTCCGAGTTTATTCAGTGACAGAGAGGGAGACCGGAGTTTTGAGCTCCGTCAGAGGAAGAAATCAGGGATTCCATGTACACACTGGAGATCCAGGGATTAGGTGGTTATGGGCAGGACATGTGATCCTGATAGCGGCCGGATCGGGGCGGTTATTGACCGAATCCCACCGCTATCAGGATCCGTCGAACGACCGCCAGGACAGCAGCCAATGCGATGGTCAGACCTCTCCGAGAAAGCTTTGGACGAAAGGCAAGCCTTCAGTGAGGACGATCCACTGGACTACTTTGGCGACAAAAATGAAATGAGACTTTACCGACTCCAGCTCGAGGAAATCTGTAAGCAACGGGACGATTTAAGATACAGGTCCTATAGATTATTCGACTATCCCGGCTGATCGGGGTACTTGTTTGAGCAGATGGAAGGCTGGATTTCATCAAGTTTGATCACAAAGTACATATTACTAGTTTGAGTCTACGGAGTGTGGTGAGCTGGTAGCACCACGACACATTTGAAGGAAGAATAGAGCGAGGCTTGTCCCGTCATAGGGAACGAAGATGAAAAAAATGTGCTCCTCGGTGATAGACTGCTCCGTCGTACATGTCTGCTTATCAGCTACCAACCAGCCCATATGTGCCTTTATAAGGCCGTATATCCTATGTAGGAGAAATCAGCTAGGCGTAAAAACTCATGCTTTATCTTTGTTCATTTCGACCTATTAACAAACGGTCGTGGCCCTTCGAACTCAATCACCGTCTTTGACATCCAGGTGAGCTACGATCCTTATGGAATCAGCATATCGATTTCAAGAAAAAATGAAGCAAGTGAAAGAATTTTTTATTAGCAATTAAAAAAATAATATTCATAATAAAATGGAGGTATAGATGTTGAACTGTTACATAATGGCACAAGAAGGACACCGTTTAAAAAGCAACGACGAGTTGATGGTCCATAATCAGTCGGAGCAGCACGAACTTGACCGACGATACTGAAATTTACCATAACCAGGAATTTGTACTGGAGCTCTAATTTTATTTATTGATTTATTTTTTTACTTACTCGTAACGCTGCATAGGGCAGGAGTAGGTGGCGATATAATAAAAAAGCTCAAACAGAACGTTGTAAGGCCACAGAAATTAATTTTTAGCTAGACAATAAGAAAGTGACCCCCAAATCGAAATGAGGAAAGCTCACAACCTTGATTAATCGATTGATGGTGTAGGCCACGCATTCACTCGACCGTCTAAGAACGTGGCAGCATTTCGGCAAATGTGGGCGACCGAATTATTTTTGGGCTTTTGGTACCTACCCCTGATTTACTACTTCTTTGGGGGGGGG